GTTTATGACTCTCTTAAGTTTTTCAGTTTAACCAGGGTGAAAAGGGTAATACACACACACACACACACACGCACAAATTCAGTGAGAACCTAGTACTGGGCAGTAAATACACCAGATGTCAGAGGGAACGGAGAGGAGGTTTGCTGATACTGTTTTTCCCTGACAAGGAGCTAGTAATTTCACAGGAGAATTAAAACACAAGCACACATCATTACAGAACTATTTTGATAAAAGTAAGCGTTGTATTAGTTCTAGGATATTCGATGTCCACACTGACATATTTCTTCTCTTGCAGGCTTTATTGCATTTTCCACCATGCCGGAGCTGGCTCAGAAAATAAAAATAAATTTTGCTTTAGCACCCATAGCTACTGTTAAACATGCAAAAAGTCCTGGGACCAAATTTTTGTTGCTGCCCGATATGATGATCAAGGTATGTGACTCCTCAGAAAATTCCTGTCTCTGCACAGAGTCTTCCAGCCCTATTTGCTAAGATATATACTCAAATTAGAGCCACTGCCTTTAAAAAATTTTTTTCTGTTTTTTTTTCTTTTTTTCTTTCTTTTTTTTTTTAAGTGAAAGTAAGTTTATTTAGAGAGATATACACTTCATAGAGAGTGTGGTCTGTCACACTTGGAAGGGAGAGCGGCTTAGGAGATACACACTCCATAGGCAAAATGTGGGCTGTCTCAAAAGTGTGAAAGGGAGAGAGACAGAGAGCTGTGGGGTGTTTAGTTTAAAGCAAAAGCAGACACACACTCCATAGACAGTGTGGGATGTCTCAGAAGTAAGAGAAAGAGAGCAACCCCAATGCAGGCTTGTTAGTTTTTATGGGCTTGGTGATTTCATATGCTAATGAGTAGGAGGATTATTCCACCTACTATGCAGAAGGGGCAGGGATTTCCAGGAATTGGGCCCCGCCCACTTTTGACCTTTTATTGTCAGCCTAGGAATTGTCATGGCTCCTGTGGGTGCACCATGCATAGAGCCACTTCTTTTTGACTAATGTAATGACGCTTCCTTTTCACATTTTTACAGGGATTATTTGGCAAAAAAGAATTTCTGTACCAGACCAGATTTTTCAGACAGCTTTTTATTTACCTTTGTGGCCAGATGGTTATTGACCAGATTTGTAGCCGTATCATGTTACTCCTGGGAGGATTTAACTTGAACAATATGAACATGGTAAGTGGGAGCTTCGTAAATCCTCAGGGTCCCAAAGCAGAGCTACCAGTTATTAGTCTCACTCCTTGAGGGCGAGCTAATGCCAGGGAAGACTTAGAGAAATGATGTACTCCAAGTAATTCAGTTTTCTTCAGATCATAGTAATGTGTGGAAAATGCTTCAACATGGGCTGAGTCAAGGTTACCATAAAGGCATTGCTCCATATTAACTTCATAGATTAGAGATGGAAGAGGTCTGAAAGCAGTTTTGCTACAGTGAGTTAACAGATGGACAAACCTGAGTAGAACCCAGAAGTCAAAAGAGAAGAGCCATGCATCATCCATCTCTTGTTTCTACTTGGGTCCCCCTGGTTTGTAGTTCAAGTCCTTTGATGTGCTGTCTGGGAGTTTCAGTTTGGCTTAGACGTAGCTACCAGTCAGTGGGTGTCCCAGTGGGTTCCCCAGGAAGTAGACTCTGAGATGGAGATTCACGTGCAGTATGATTGGGAGTAATCCCCTTGGGATAACACCCAGAGAAGAGAAGGACACAGAATGGGGTAGATTAAAAATCCAGCTGTGCTGTAGTCTCAAAGGGAGCCTCCAATGATCCAGTAGGGATCTGTGCAGATGGGATGACCCTTCGGAACTGTCCCACACTACAGCAGGAGGGCTGGGGCTTTACACCCTCTTATCAGCCAGTCAGGTAATGCAGACAACGCTAGTAATGGAGTGGGCAATGGACAGGGCAGCTCTCTGCACCTGAGACAGTTCCCCAGGGAGGCCAGACAGCAGAGGGCTATCTGCCAGCAGCTGGAGGAACACGTTTTTAACTCCTCAAGACTTTTTTTCCTTTTTTATTAATAATATGATTAATAGCTACATTTGATAAGCATTTTATTATATGCCAGGCTAAATTATTCCCTTTAACAGCCCTATGAGACAAGTATTATCAATATTCCCACTTTACAGATTACCATTCTGAGGCTTAGTGGATAAAGTAATGCTCCCCATGTCACCTAAACATTAAATAGCAGAGGTGAGATTTGAGTTCAGGTCCAGTTCTAGAGTCCTCATCCTTAATTAATCAAGGAAAGTTTTTTGAAAGACGAAATCAGATGTCTCACGAGAAGATTTTCTCAGATGAAGGACATAGATACTCAGGGATACAGTCAGTGGCGTGTTTTACTTCTGCCTGTGTATCTGTTACTGTTTCATGGACAACTGCTGATACTTTAATCATCTTCCGGTTTCTTAGTCTGACACCCTGGAGACGTGATCTTCACAAGGTGCACATCTTGTGAGTTCTCCCCTATCTCACAAAGTGCTCATGCTTTGTTACAGAGCCGGGCAAACGTGTATGTTGCTCACAGTCTTGCCGGAACATCTGTGCAGAACATCCTGCACTGGAGCCAGGTAAGCATGCTGAGCCCGTCGTCTTTGCTAAGGGTCTTGGTACACCTTGTCTGGAATAGCCGAAGGATGCCCTTTTGACAGCCCAGTGTTACATCACGCTTATTCCAAGGTGAAATGTGAGCCTGTCAATACGGTTTCATCTGTGCATTTGATTTAGAACATTGAAACCCTTCAGGAGACAGGAGCAAAGGACTGGCCCTAGAACCTCTTTAGTGGACCTTAAAAGTGTGAATTCGGAAGGTTCAGGTGAGACCTTTCTCAGTCTCTAGACACTTCAAAGGTGAGGCTGGAGATCATGTTTCCATATTTTCCTTTCGGCTCTTCCAGCAATGCAGTGTGGTCAAGTAGTAATAAAAATGCAGAGACGGACCTAATTACCCAAAGTTTTCCCAGGAGTTCTCTGGGCTGCAGACTTCACCTGCAGTCACAGGAGAGAAGGTCCCGATTACCTGTCACAGGAACTGTCTCTCGGCGCAGTGTGGTGGGTCTGAGGTAAAACATGCAGAGTTAGTTCAAGGACAACGTGAATGCTAATTATTCTCTCACATATGAAGAAGCACTGAACCTAATATTGCTCATTATAGATGATACTATACAGTGACCCCCAACTGGCTGTGGAAATAAGGATGAATATAAGAACAGAGAGCTGGAACATAACTAATCTCAGATTCTCACCTACTGAAAATACCACTTTGTTAAAAAAAAAAAGGGAAGGGGGGTTCTTAAACCAAGCAGAAAGTTTTAATAGTGATGATGACATCTGTAAATCATAAATATTGATCCTATTTTTCTAACAATTTTGCACCTAGTCAAATTGTTCTTCGAAGGTAACTTTTACCTTTTAGTAAATGGGTACGTGTGTGTGTGTGTGTGAGAGAGAGAGAGAAAGATTTTATGATCAAAAACAAACAAGAATTCTAAACTGGATTAAATGTTGGTCACTTTCTCCTAGAATAAATGCATTGCACAACCCTAGGGGGCGCTCTCCCATTGTAGCCTATAGAGTTGTGCAGGATACCCATTTACACAGACTGCAATGGGGATACACCTTCTGGAGTTACATAACATGATGAGCCAGTATTTACGTAGTACATTTTTCTCCCTGAAAGGACCTCATTCCTGTCTTTATACTCTCCTGAAGATTATCCTAACACCAAATGGAGGAGCAGCCTCTGCCTTTGCTCTCTGCCTCTTTCACAATTTTCACTCCTGCCCCCGCCCTTATCCGGTGATGCATTTGAACGTCATGCCAATTTTTGTTTCCTTGTAGGCAGTGAACTCTGGGGAACTCCAGGCATTTGACTGGGGCAGCGAGACCAAAAATCTGGAGAAGGGTAATCAGGTAAGAAAATCAAATACCATCTGCCGAAAATATATCCTGTTGAAATGCGTGAGAGGGAGGTTAAAAGTGGCAGTTTATTCTCAAAACGGGAATAAAATACAAGAATTCAAGTAGAAAGTAATTAGTTCTGGTTTGACTCCATTTGAAAATGGAAAAAGTTCAAAGCTTGGCCAAGAATGAAAAAAAAGGCTTTTATAATGCAGCTGGAAAACCTATTTTTTAACGAGGCTGCCTCCATGAACAAGGCACTGGGCTTCTTAGGAGCAAGATGGGGTAGACTTAGTGAAGGGAAGGGTGTAGTCTGTGGTAGGTACTAGAAGGATCTTTTTAAGATCCAGAAAATAAAACCAGAAAACAAACAAACAAAAATACCCACGAATGAGGATGGCAAGGATGAGGTTGGATCATCGCACAGTAGAAAGAGCACTAAATGACAAGTGACAATTACTGTGCTAGCCCTGCCTCTGCTCTACTTGTGTGATCATGGCTAGGCTGCTTCGATCCTTCAGGCCTCTATTTCTTTCTCTTTAAAATAAAAATTATTGGACTAGACAACCCTTAAGTGTTCTCCCTGGTCACACTTTTAATGAATTTGTAATTTGCCAGTGAAAATATGAAAAAAAAGAATATTACCCAAGAAAATGTGTATGTGTAATCAATCCTTCAGAATAGAATTAAACATAGAAGTTGTGGAGAATTAAAAGTGGATATTATGCCTTCCCGGGCATAAAACCTTCACTGAAGATGATCGGTTAGCTTGTGTGTGAATGTAAACAAATATTGACCACATAAAGCTGGAGGGAGCAGCGTACACACACCGACTGATCTCTGAGCATCTCATCTCATACTTAACCTCCACTTCTGTACATCAGTCCAGATATAAAAGGCTAGGAGATTGGACAGACGATGTAATGCCACTGAATAGCAAACTCTCCGTCACGGATATCAGCTAGTTTTTTGAGACCCTTTTTCATTGTCTCCTAAAATATGTCTTTAGAGAAAGTATTCCATTTCCAAGATTGATTGAATTTGTCAACATTTAACACCATGCGTTAAAGAGAAAGTGATGTATACACAGCAGGTGCCCGAAAATGGTCCTGGAAAGAAAGAGAAAACACAGAGACAAAAAAGTGTCATTAGACTCACAGAGCCTTAGAGCTCTGTGGCATTCAGTTCAATTCCCCCCTCTCTTCCCCCGCTTAGATGAGAAAAACATGTGACTGGCTCCTTAGAATATTCCAACCTTTCATATCTAAGTGACTCTACAAAAGATGGGTCTGATCACCAAATTCCAATTATGGGTAGGGTGGTGAGGGGGGAGTTTCCCCACACCAACAAGCAATTCTCCAACACCAGCGGGGTGGCCTACAATTTAGCTCAGTTCTGACACTGTCTACCCAGAGCTGGCATCAGATCCTGTAAGTTGAGGGCTCAGTCCCACAAGACTGTCCTCCAATTCAGATGCCAATCACAAGCCGCAGTTGTCATCGACTGGCCATAAGTAAGAGGTTTCCATGCCACCCTCCTCAGATTTGATTAATTTGCTAGATCGGCTCATAGAACTCAGAAAAGCACACTAGATTATCAGTTTATTATAAAAGGATATAACTCAGAAACTGCCAAGAAGAAAAGATACACATTCAAGGGAAAGGATGCTGAACTCCCATGCCCTCTCTATGTGTGCCATTCTCCCCACATTTTCACATGTTCACTAACCTGGAAGCTCCAAGTCCTGTCCTCTTGAGTTTTTATGGAGACTTAATAACACACATCTGATTGATTAAATCATTGGCCATTAGTGATTGAACTCAATCTCTAGCCCATTTCCTCTCCCTGGAGGTCAGGGGTGGGACTGAAAGTGTCAACCCTCTAACCACTTGCTTGAATCCACTTCTGGAGCCAATGCCCCACATCTTGTTCCAAATGTTACCTCATTAATATAACAAAAGACACCTTTATGGCTCTGTTGCTTAGGAAATTCTGAGGGTTTTAGGAGCTCTGCACTGAAAACATGGATGAAGATCACACACATGTGTCTTATTATAGTTCATAATAAAACACATGATAATTCCAAATTCTTAAAAGCTACAAAGAGAAATAAGGGCTGCTGGGATTGGAACCCCAGCTCCAGGGTGAGTGAGAAGTGGGCTTTGACATTTCTGCTGAAAGTTCTGGGTGCTGGTTAACGTCAAGGGCTCTCAGTCAGCCAGCTTGATCTAATAGTTCTGTTTGAATCAGGGAAGTTCTCAAGAACTAGGAACCCTAGAATCCTTCTTTGGGTGATGGTGGACTGGATCAGGGATCAAATCTACCCTTGGTTCAAACTACCTGAGATCCAGCGCCACTGACTTCCCCATTTGGAGACAAAGTCAAGCTGGATGTGCCCCCAGGGCTTTCTTTAGGACAGAAAGTCCCTGTGAACACCCAAGTCTTTCTCAGTAGTTTCCATCCACTTGCCTTTCTCTGTAGAATATCTCCAACTCTGGCCTCATGAAGCTTTGTGAAATCATCTCTTAAAAGGACAGGAACATTATCTTTTAAAGACAATTTATGAGTTAAATATTTATTAATGGGAGGGAAAAGAATTGAACAAGTAATGCCTAAAGTGCTAGGCAACTGACATGTTTTCTCATTTAAACTAGTAAGTTCTTATAGATAGAATCCCCATTTCACAGATGAAGAAACTGAGGTTCAGTGAGGTTAAGTAATTTTTCACCTTCAAGGAGAAGCTGGAGCAGAAACTCTTAATGGAGTTCTAGATGGCTCTAGTCTCCATGCACCTTTCATTCACAACACAGGACATATTTACCATGTTTATTTGAAAAGTAAACTATGAGTTTGGAAGTCCAAATGTTATCTGCAGTTAAAAACTATTCCTTTTCCCAGCCAACTCCCATAAGGTACAAAGTGAGAGACATGACGGTCCCCACAGCCATGTGGACTGGAGGTCAGGACTGGCTTTCAAATCCAGAAGATGTGAGAACACTCCTCTCCGAGGTGACTAACCTCATCTACCATAAGAACATTCCTGAATGGGCTCATGTGGATTTCATCCTGGGCTTGGATGCTCCTCACCGTATGTACAATGAAATCATACACCTGATGAAGCAGGAAGAGACCAGTCTTTCCCAGGGAACTTTCAGCGTCAGCTTGTGAAGCATCTGATACTGACCGGTCTTAGGAGAAAACCTCATGGAAGATGGGGCTTGAGTCCATGAATGGAGGATTTTAAAGATTTCTGCCATTGGAAACCTACAGTATGAGTAGGAGGGAGGTGGAGGAGGGAGAGCAGAGATGCAATGTACATTCCTTCAGGTTTTCTGTATTTGGCACTAAAACTAACATTCAAATTTTTTTCAGTTAATTAAACCACTCATTGGGTGAACAGAGTTTTCATGTGCTATTATGTATTCTGCCATCTTGAAAGGTAGGTTTTACCTGACAACTAGAAAAATTATCTAGACATTCTTTATATTATTCAACTAAAGGTTCTTAAAACATTTATTTTTCTTCCATGAGCTTTATTTTTGGAGTGATCAAGTAAAATTCCACACTGGGACACAGTCAGGGGTCTTGAATCTCTGGACTGTTGTTGTTGAGTTTGACAAAATAAGCTAGATGTTTCCACCTTATTGCCATGGAGACATAACCCCACCTCAGGAAGCCAAGCTACTTTAACCAAAAAAGAAAAAGAAAAATCAATGTACAGTATAGATGAAAAGGCCAAGTTTCAGAGTTGAGTGTCAGACAAGATATTTTTGTAGGATATTAATGAGTTTTCTAATAAATGCACTATGTATTGCATAACGTGTGTATGTGTATTTCTGTACCTAGAGTCTAGGCCGTGCCCGTCTGAGGGTTTACAGCTTGTTGCTAGGAGACCTAATGGCTGCTAATGTCTGCCTTCAAAAATTAAAAGCTGGGAAGAAAGTTTTATAATGTCATGAATATAATGAAATAAACTACGTATTTTATCCTAAGATCTTGACAAAGTTACTGTTAGACAATCACCCCAACTCATTCACAAATCTGGATTTAGTTCTTCAGAAAACTGTTCAATTTTCACACAATTTCAAAGACAACAGTTAAAAAGTACATGAGTTACTAGTATGGTAATTTTGCAAAACTCTGACACCAAATCGAAGGTATCCTGGCACTGTGTTGAAGGTAAACTGATGTGTGAAGTTTCACTTGTTTTTTTTTTTCCCAGTGTCCAGAGTCACTTGGTAACACAGTTCAATGTGAATGGATGTCAAATAATGTAGTAAGAGAGCTTTAAGGGCTTTGGAATCTGTATCCACACGCTACTGCTCCCCTCACAAAATATGTGCCTTAAGGCCCTATACATAGTTCAATAAATATTCCTGGATTTGACTTTTGTTAGACCTCTGTTCTGTTCACGGAAGGTAAATCTCTCATTCTTAGACCATATATCTTACCACACATAGAGCGGCTTAGTCCACGTCTAAAGATATTGAAGATTCAGTCTTGCTTTGCAGAATCCAGTCATTTTTAAATGTGTTTATTTCCTCTGTCTCCCTGACAATGGACTTAAGACAGATATTTTGATATTCACAATCTCTCCTCTTTACATATCATCCAGACACCACCCCATCATATATTTCTATTTCTTATAAAGAAATCCATTATCCAAAACATTCACAGTAATATTTTTAATTTTATCAATAAAAAATAACAGTACAAACAAGTAACTGCCTCACATTCACAAGAGAATTGCAAAGATAGTTTTGAAACAACAACTTGATAGTTGCACAATCTTGTTCAAAACCAAGAGGGCTCTTATTTGTAAATCGATAGCAAAATATCTCGAGGTATGCTTGGTACGCCAGCTCTCTGGAAAGAAAAACAGAGTCCCGGCTGGTAGCATTTGTAAATGTCTGTGGGGACAACCAATGGACGATTTTGTTTAAGTTGTTTCACCAAAGGAATATTTACATATGAGTCTCTAAGCCCTCACTCATACATGCACCACTCTATACAAATGTCTGTGCTCTGATTCTTCCTCTTACTACTCAAAGGGGCCTGAGAGGAACCGCTTGCCTCCTGGGGCAGAATATGGACGGGACAGCATCTTTATAACAGCGACACAGCTGGAAAGAGAGAACGTGGATAACACCAATCCCCTCCTTTAGGAGAGACTGAGTTTGAAACATCACCTTTTCTTGAGTGAAGTGAAGAATCCAACAGCATTAGCATTTCCCCTGGAAAGACCACGACCGTGGTAAACATTATAAACACAAAGCTCTTCAAAAACATCACCCATGGCAACCATCATCATCCCCACAACATGGTGGCCTTCAGGTCGAGTGGTCCACAGACCGGTACTTCAAGATGGAGACGGAATCCAGTTCTTTAACTTTCTCTGCTTCTTCATAAGAGGCCACAAAGACTACAATGCTTTCCTTAGCATCAGTTCAATCTGGGAAAATTTTAGTCTCCGAGCAATATCCAGGGAACTCTCACCGTGCTGAGAAAATAAAGAAATGACAGTTATCTATCTCCAGTAAAGTTAGATGTCAGTGCAGAAGGTCTAGTAAACAGTTTAGACTGTTTGACCCACAGGCTTCGCAAGGGCTTTAAATGTCATTCAGTTCTAGCAGTAATAGGGTAACTTAATTTCTTAAGGAGGACAATTACTCTTGCGGTTAACAACATCAGAGGCACTTAATTTACTTCAGCCCAAGGCGGATGTTAGAAGGTTATGCTGCTGGAAGGACCTCAGACCACGGTCCACAGATCCTTACCTTATTCTTTATCGTGGGGTCCGCATGGGCTTCCAGGAGCAGAGGGATGAGAGTCTGGTTTTTCATTTCACAGGCGTAGTGCAGCGCTGTGCAGCCATACTGAAACACAGGGGACCGACACTGCAGCTCATCCTTGCACATCATCGCGTGTGGCTTCTTTAGCAAGCACTGTCCACGTTCTGTAGCGTACAACTAAGCGAACAGTCTGCACACCATCTACGTGCAACTGTGTGATCAGTGCCGTTCCACACAGCTGTCCCCTGTGCTCGCTTTGTTGTAGCTTACACTGTGTATTATACAAGAGTGGATCTCCTCTGTGGGTCTAATTTAAAACACCAACTCCTGGTCAAAAGAAATTTACAGCTGGGGTATTTGTACCCCAAATTTTGCCTTTCAAGAAGTGGAGAAATAATATCCTTGACTCTCAAGATTAACAGAATTAACTCTGGATTTTATTTCTCAGAAATTCTTCTAAGATCATAGGAAATAACGCTGCAATCGCTTATTTTTATTAAGTGATAACATGATAAATACAGATCTGGCTCTGCATTTTTCCATGTAAAATGAAGAGTCTAATTACCTAAAAATAGAATACACTGCATTACTTGGAGTTGGAAAATGGATCTTAATATTCAGATAGGTTTTGAAAAATAGTGGGGGAAAAAGGGTGTCTGTGTGTGCATGCATGTGCCCCTGTGTGTGCACAGGAATTAATTCTCTATCTAGAGATGGACATGGACATGGATAACTAGGAAAAACTCTAGAGAAATTTTGGTCTCAGGCAAAGTTTTAAACCTTTTGAATTTAAATAAAAAGACCAAGAAATACCTTCAACAAATCTTTTACTTAGTTTTTCAAAACATCTTACTTAATATATGTCAAAGTTATCTAAGGAAATGATGATGCAGTCCATCCAAATTAATCCAAAAATCATTGTAACAGTGTGATAAATAACATGCCCGCAGGCCCCATGACAATCCCAAGGCTAACTGCAAAAGACCAAAAAATGGGCAGTGGCCCAATTCCTGGGAATCCCAGCCTCTTCCCCAGGGTAGCTGGAATGGTCCCACCTGTAGGCATGTGAAGCTAAAGAGCCCATAAAAACTAGCAACATCATGCCGAGCGCCCTTTTTCACGTCCTCCTCTTTGGGGACGGCCCGCACTCTGTCAATGGAGTGTGTGTCCACTTTTACTTTAACCTGAGCAGTCAATTCATACACCTCTTTCCTTGCCGTTCTCTTGCCTTACACTCTATGCAGTGTGTATCTCTCTAAATAAATCTACTTTTACTCAAAAAAAGAAAGAAAGAAAGAGAGAAAGGAAGGAAGGAAGGAAGGAAGGAAGGAAGGAAGGAAGGAAGGAAGAAGAAGGAAAGAAAGAAAGAAAGAAGGAAAGAAAGAAAGAAGGAAAGAAAGAAAGAAAGAAAGAA